GATATTTATTTAAAAGGCTTGTAAATCGTGCTTCAAATACACCTTCGCTCAAACTATTGCGTGCCAAATAAAACTCTTTAATAAATTCTGCATACTGTTCACCGAGTTTACTTCGAAGATTTTTTAGAATGTTCTGACTTAAATGATATAAACAAAACAAATGCTTTGTGTTTGGAAGATCATGAGCTGCCACATATTTCATAGCAAGATCTTCATCTGTCATTAAAACTCTTGGAGAAACTCCAGTTGCTTTTTTTAATTGTCCGATAACCCAACGGAAAGACTCAATCGTTTCATCAGGCATTAAAGCCTGTGCTGCAATTCGAGTTTTGTTATGATTATCAATTAAAACAAAGAGGCACAAAGGAAAATTATAATGATTTGTTTGTGCCGTATTGTCTTGAACTATTATGTCACTAAATCGTATCCATCTTTCACGCTGACCCGGGTCCATCCAAAAAATTCCACGAAGACGATTACTAATAGAATCGATTAAGGGTTCAATATACCAATTAGAGTCCTTTTCTCTATATTCATAGAGTTGTGATAAAAGCCTAGACGCATCATTTCCTTCCACCTTATGTTCTCGTCGTAATTGTGCCACAACATTGGCAAGATCACGTGTTAAAAAAAGCTGGTCAGGGAATTTAGCGGATATAAGAGACCTTATTGTCGACAAGTCGCACCGACCATTTACTACCAAGTGCCGAATTTCTTCACGACAATCATCAGAAAACCGGCGATTTACTGGGGCAAAAATATTTGTATCCGGTGAAAGTTGATGCTCAACATGGTGATCATTAAAACTAGTGATACGAATCATACTAGTTGCAGATGACAAGTTAACTTTCCAATCACAATTAATTTTTTTAGAGCCTTTATTATGTTGATTTTGTAAGTTATTAGTCTTTTTTGATTGATATGTTCCACCAAATTCACATTTATAATACAGGTTTGTTAAATGCCCATTATGATCAGTTTTACTACGTATCTTAATTGCAACAAATCCCTTTTGGCGGCCATATTGAGTAACATAATGTTCTGCAATTGGCCAGTTA